CAGTGAGATAAAAAGAACAGGAGGGTTCGGAAGCACTGATCCAACAGGAAAGGCTGCATATTGGGCAAATCTGGTCTCTGAGAGCAGACCTGTGTGTAAGGCCATTATTCAAGGAAAACAGTTTGAAGGGTTGGTAGACACTGGAGCAGATATCTCTGTCATTGCTTTAAATCAATGGCCAAAAAATTGGCCTAAACAAAAGGCTGTTACAAGACTTGTCGGCGTAGGCACCGCTTCAGAAGTATACGAAAGTACAATGATTTTACATTGTTTAGGACCAGATAATCAAGAAAGTACTGTTCAGCCAATGATTACTTCAATTCCTGTTAATCTATGGGGTCGAGATTTATTACAGCAATGGGGTGCGAAAATCATTATGCCTGCTCCATTATACAGCCCCACGAGTCAAAAAATCATGACTAAGATGGGATATATACCAGGAAAGGGGTTAGGAAAAAATGAAAATGGCATTAAAGTCCCAATTGAGACTAAGAAAAATCAAGAAAGAAAAGGAATAGGGTATCCTTTTTAGGGGCGGCCACTGTAGCGCCTCCTAAACCCATTCCATTAACTTGGAAAACAGAAAAACCGGTATGGGTAAATCAGTGGCCGCTACCGAAGCAAAAACTGGAGGCTTTACATTCATTAGCAAAGGAACAGTTAGAAAAAGGACACATTGAGCCTTCATTCTCACCCTGGAATTCTCCTGTATTTGTAATTCAGAAAAAATCAGGCAAATGGCGTATGTTAATAGACTTAAGAGCCGTAAATGCTGTAATTCAACCCATGGGGCCTCTTCAACCCGGATTGCCCTCTCCGGCCATGATCCCAAAAGACTGGCCTTTAATTATAATTGATCTTAAGGATTGCTTTTTTACCATTCCTCTGGCAGAGCAAGATTGTGAAAAATTTGCCTTTATTATACCAGCCATAAATAATAAAGAACCAGCCACCAGGTTTCAGTGGAAAGTACTACCTCAGGGAATGCTTAATAGTCCAAAACTATTTGTCAAACTTTCGTAGGTCAAGTCCTTCAACCAGTTAGAGACAAATTTTCCGATTGTTATATCATTCACTATATTGATGATATTTTATGTGCTGCAGAAACAAGAGAAAAATTAATTGACTGTTACACATTTCTGCAAGCAGAGGTTGCCAACGCAGGACTAACAATAGCATCGGATAAGATCCAAACCTCTGCTCCTTTTCATTATTTAGGGATGCAGATAGAAAATAGAAAAATTAAGCCACAAAAAATAGAAATAAGAAAAGATACTTTAAAAACATTAAATGACTTTCAAAAATTGTTAGGCGATATTAATTGGATTCGGCCAACTCTAGGCATTCCTACTTATGCCATGTCAAATTTGTTCTCTATCCTAAGAGGAGATCCAGACTTAAATAGTAAAAGAATATTAACCCCAGAGGCAACAAAAGAAATTAAATTAGTGGAAGAAAAAATTCAGTCAGCGCAAATAAATAGGATAGATCCTTTAGCCCCACTCCAACTTTTGATTTTTGCTACTGCACATTCTCCAACAGGCATCATTATTCAAAACACTGATCTTGTGGAGTGGTCATTTCTTTCTCACAGTACAATTAAGACTTTTACATTGTACTTGGATCAAATAGCTACATTAATTGGTCAGGCAAGACTACGGATAATAAAATTGTGTGGTAATGACCCAGACAAAATAGTTGTTCCTTTAACCAAGGAACAAGTTAGGCAAGCCTTTATCAATTCTGGTGCATGGCAGATTGGCCTTGCTAATTTTGTGGGAGTTATTGATAATCATTACCCAAAAACAAAAATCTTCCAGTTTTTAAAATTGACTACTTGGATTTTACCTAAAATTACCAGACATGAGCCTTTAGAAAATGCTCTGACAGTATTTACTGATGGTTCCAGCAATGGAAAAGCGGCTTACACAGGACCAAAAGAGCGAGTAATCAAAACTCAGTATCAATCAGCTCAAAGAGCAGAGTTGGTTGCAGTCATTACAGTGTTACAAGATTTTAATCAACCTGTTAATATTATATCAGATTCTGCATATGTAGTACAGGCTACAAGGGATGTTGAGACAGCTCTAATTAAATATAGCATGGATAATCAGTTAAACCAGTTGTTTAATTTATTACAACAAACTGTAAGAAAAAGGAATTTCTCATTTTATATTACTCATATTCGAGCACACACTAATTTGCCAGGACCTTTAACTATAGCAAATGAACAAGCTGACTTACTGGTATCCTCTGCATTCATAAAAGCACAAGAACTTCATGCTTTGACTCATGTAAATGCAGCAGGGTTAAAAAACAAATTTGATGTCACATGGAAACAGGCAAAAGATATTGTACAACATTGCACCCAGTGTCAAGTACTACACCTGCCCACTCAAGAGGCAGGAGTGAATCCCAGAGGTCTGTGTCCTGATGCATTATGGCAAATGGATGTTACCCATGTACCTTCATTTGGAAAATTATCATATGTTCATGTAACAGTTGATACTTATTCACATTTCATATGGGCAACATGCCAGACAGGAGAAAGTACTTCCCATGTTAAAAAACATTTATTATCTTGTTTTGCTGTAATGGGAGTTCCAGAAAAAATTAAAACTGACAATGGACCAGGTTATTGTAGTAAAGCTTTCCAAAAATTCTTAAATCAGTGGAATATTACACATACAACAGGAATTCCTTATAATTCCCAAAGACAGGCCATAGTTGAAAGAACTAATAGAACACTTAAAACTCAGTTAGTTAAACAAAAAAAAGGGGGAGACAGTAAGGAGTGTACCACTCCTCAGATGCTCCTCAGATGCAGCTTAATCTAGCACTCTATACTTTAAATTTTTTAAACATTTATAGAAATCAGACTACTACTTCTGCAGAACAACATCTTACTGGTAAAAAGAACAGTCCACATGAAGGAAAACTGATTTGGTGGAAAGACAACAAAAATAAGACATGGGAAATAGGGAAGGTGATAACCTGGGGAAGAGGTTTTGCTTGTGTTTCACCAGGAGAAAATCAGCTTCCTGTTTGGATACCCACTAAACATTTGAAGTTCTACAATGAACCCATCGGAGATGCAAAGAAAAGCGCCTCCACGGAGACGGAAACACCGCAATCGAGCACCATTGACTAACGAACAAGCCTTCATCGCCATGGCACATTTATATAGAGGAAAAGGGAGGGAGAACGTTGCGGGAAGTCAGGGACCTTGAACGCAGGGACTGGCTGAAGCCACGGCAGAAAAACATAAAATGTGAAGATTTCATGGACATTTATTAGTTCTCCAAAATTAATACTTTTGTAATTTCTTATGTCTGTCTTTACTTTAATCTCTTAATTCTATCATCTTCTTTGTAAACTGAGGAGGATATATGTCACCTCCGGACCCTGTGATGATTGCCTTAACTGCACAAATTGTTTGTGGAGCATGTGTGTTTGAACAATATAAAATCTGGGCTTCTTGAAGAAAGAACAGGATAACAGCAATGTTCAGGGAACAAGGGAGGCAACCTTGAACTGGCCGCCGGTGAGCCGGACGGAACAGAGCCATATTTCTTCTCTTTTCATTATGCAAATAGGAGAAATATCGCTGAATTCTTTTTCTCAGCAAGGAACACCCCTGAGAAAGAGAATGCGCTCTGAGGGTAGGCCTATAAACGACCCCCTTGGAGGCGTGCCGCCTTTTACGGTTGAAGCCGAAGGGATGAAATAAGCCCCGGCCTCCTGTAGCGCTCCCAGGCTTATTAGGACGAGGAAATTCCCACCTAATAAATTTTGGTCAGACAGGTTGTCTGCTCTCAAACCCTGTTTTCTGATAAGATGTTATCCATGACTATGCATGCCCAAAAATTTTAATTTTAACACCATCCTGTGATCTCATCCTGCCTCCACTTGCTTTGTGATATTCTATTACTTTGTGTCATGATGACAATGGTGGTTTTGTTGAAAAGAAAAGGGGGAAATGTGAGGAAAAGAAAGAGATCAGCCTGTTACTGTGTCTATATAGAAAGAAGTAGACATAAGAGACTCCATTTTGTTCTGTGTTTGAGATGCTGTTAGTCTGTGACCCTACCCCCAATCTTGTCCTTGCAAGAGACATGTGCTGTGGTAACTCAAGGTTTAATGGATTTTGGGCGTGCAGGGTGTGACTTTGTTCCTAGATAAGCTAGGTATTGTCTAAGGTTTCTCCCCATGTGATAGACTGAAACTATGCTGCCTAAAGGTTTATGGAGATGTTTGCATATGCATCTCAAGGCACAGCCTTGTCCTTTGAATTTATTCATGTCACAGAGGTTTTTGTTCATATGTCTTACTGCCGATTTCCTCTTTTTTCTTTGTTTATATTGTCCTGCCACTCCCCTGTCTTTAAGATGGTAAAGATAATTATCTATAAATACTAAGGGAACTCAGAGACCGGGGCCGGCGTGGGTCCTCTGTAAGCTGAGCGCCGGTCCCCTGGGCCCCGCTTTTCTTTCTCTATACTTTGTCTCTGTGTCTTATTTCTTTTCTCAAGTCTCTCGTTCCACCTAACGAGAAACACCCACAGGTGTGGAGGGGCAGGCCACCCCTTCAGAAGGGTTTTCATTGTGTTAGCTAGGATGGTCTCGAGCTCCTGACCTCATGATCCGCCCACCTCGGCCTCCCAAAGTGCTGGGATTACAGGCGTGAACTACCGCGCCCGACCCACATAGTATAATTTTTTTTTATTTTTGAGATGGAGTTTCACTCCTGTTGCCCAAGCTGGAGTGAGGTGGTGCCATCTCGGCTCACTGCAACCTCCGCCTCCTGTGTTCAAGTGATTCTCCTGCCTCAGCCTCCCGAGTAACTGGGACTACAGGCGCCCGCCACCACGGCTTATTTTTGTATTTTTGGTAGAGATGGAGTTTCACCATATTGGCCAGGCTGGTCTCGAACTCCTGACCTTGTGATCTGCCTGCCTTGACCTCCCAAAGTGCTAGGATTTCAGGCGTGAGCCACCGCGCCCGGCCACCACGTAGTAAAATATTAACATCTCATACTAAATGCCGACTTGCAGGAGTCAGTCCTCAGGCCCAGCTGCCTAAGTGCTCTTCTTTCTGTCGGACAGAGTTTGTTCTAAGGAGCCATGTCCAGGCTTCCACTCGCCTTCTATCTCGGGCCTTGTCTCCCTGCAACACAGGATGGCCTGGCTTCTGTGTCTGGCTCTGCCATGGGGACACCATGGTCTAAAGCTCCCCTCACCGAGTGGAGTTCAGTGCCGTTGAGATCCTACTTGCTCCCTCACCCACGGCTGACGCATGGAGCCCCAGGCTCTGAATTCTGCCTCCTCCATCTTCTGGTCCCCCGGGATTCTCACTGCAGCCCTGGACATGAACGGAGGGACAGGCCTTGAGAAAAAGTGGTGCGGGACCCGGTCAGGGCAGCCTGCCTGTTCCATCCGCGTGCTCTGATTCCATGCTGGGAGGAGGCATTGGTGCTGGTCCACCACCTGCTCTTACTCAGTGGGTCTGACAGGGCCCTGCTGGTGGCACACGGTTCTGCCGCAGGCTCTCGTGGTGTTCCCTGTCCATCTTTGGCAACAGAATAGAAAAGATTGCATTTGCCAGATCAGTGTCCACACCTCCCAGCCTCCAGGCCGACTTGATCTCCACCCGGCGGTCAGCTGCCACTGGGCTACACTGGGTTGGTCTGCACCAATCCCCTCCACCCGCCGGGGACCCTGGGTCCTGCGGGGCCAGACTGCTAAGAAAGGGAGGACGACCGGGCACCAGGGCCCTGCACCCACCAGGCTCCAAGGGTGCCACTTACTTCTGTCCCTTCCCAGATGAGACGTTGCTTTCGGTTGACTCTCCCAGCTGGGGCGGGAGGGGAAGCAGTGTCAGAGACTCCACCTGCCTCTCTCCCATGCAATAGCTGCTGCCCGCCAGGCCACTGACGGCACGAGGGGCTGTGCCCACCCCCATTTCTCCCAACTACACATTTTGGGAATGGGAAATGCCTGGGGGGACGGGTCCCTGGGCCAGGGCCCCACTGATCCCTTGGCTCCCCGTGTCCCTCGCGGGCCAGTGGCCAGGATGATGTTTTCTGAGTCAGGGTCCTGGCCTGTCCCCTGTGTCCAGCGTGGCCTGAGATGTCTGGGATGCCCTTTCCTCAGGGCCCGTGATCCGAGTGCACGGCCACAAGCTGCTCGGGAAGGACTGAGGGATGTGAGGATCCTGGGGCCTCCGGCCTCACTGAGAGGATGGGCCGGGGCGGAAGACGTGCTGGCGTCTGGAGGGACCAGGTCCTGAGTGGTGATGGTGTCACCTGTGGCCTGCTCTGTCGCGGGCTCCTGGGCCGGTGGGAGCTGGGAGCAGCCCTGTTGGCCTCCTCCTCTTTCCCTGTGGGGACAGCGTCTTTCCAGACATCTGGGGACTCTGCTGGCAGATGTTGTGGGGGCTGCTCTCACTTGCGTTAGGAGGGGACTACTCTCCACCTGGGATCTTTTCGTCTCCGAGCCATCAGGCCCCTCTTCCGAAGGAGGTCAGTCCCAGTCGGGGCAGGGAGGCCTCCGCGGACGGATCGTCCTGTGTGGCTGGCACACTCCCAGCTGCGACCTTGGCGCGGGGGGTGCCCTGGCCCTCCCTGGCCTGCTGGTGGGTTTCCCAGCCTCAGAGACAGCATCCTGGATTCAGGCTGAACCCCTGCCCAGGGAGGGGCCCAGGGGACACAGAAATCGGGACCCTTCGCGGGGGAAGAGGGGGTGGGAGCGGCAGAGGAGGGCAGGAAGCCTCGGTGAGGGGCGTGCCCGAGGGGGAGGAGAGGGGTTCCCGTCCTCGCCAGGTGCTGCAGGTCTCAGGGTCCGCATCCCGCCAACCCACGGTGCCCCAGGAGCTGCACACGAGCACGCGCCCGTCCGTAAGAGCTGCACAGAGGCCGGAAGGGGCACGGCAGGGACTGACCACTCTGCTTAGTCTCAGAACCACACTCTGGACCCTCAACAGGACCCTCCCCAGGTGAAGTGGCAGCAGCACTGTTGTGGGATTCAGGAGGAGGAGAGAGAGACCTCACGTTAAAACAGGAGAATCTTCTATTAAGTACACTCAGGCCCAGCAGACTCACGTACAAAGACTGAGCCCAGAACAAAGACAGCATCTGACTTTTATACTCACTTCACAGAAGGGCAGGGCTAGCTTACAGCGGTGTGAAAGCCGGGATACAGCAGCAGGACAAAGACAGGATCGCACGTGACCGCTGCCAGGCAACCCAGATGTCCGTATCTAGGCTCGTCTGGGCACGGGCTTATCCTGTAACCCTCACTGTGGTGCCCAGGCAGCTGGAGTTCAGGCCTGCTCAGGCTTCACGTGACCGTTGTTGTACTTCTTAGATAAAACAGAATACTTAAAGTCACTAGTTACAGAGAACAAGAATCTATAAACTCATTCCATAAAACTAAGGAAAATCTGTTTTTTTCTTCTCCCTGTGTTGAGGGAGTGCTGGGAGAGTCTCCAGAGCACAGCAGATAATATTATCAAGACTCTGCCGGGGTCTGGCCTGTGCCTGTGGCTGCCTCTGGGACAGGTCAGCCTAATACAGGAAAACCTATTTCTCTTTCTTTTTCATTTTATTTTTATTTAATTTCCTGCCTCATTCCCTTCCCCTCTTTGAGGCCTTTTATTATTATTATTATTATTATTTGAGACAGAGTCTCACTCCGTCCCCAGGCTGGAGGGCAGTGGCGCGATCTCCGCTCACTGCAAGCTCCACCTCCCGGGTTCCTGCCATTCTCCTGCCTCAGCCTCCCGAGTAGCTGGGACCACAGGCGCCGCCACCGCGCCCGGCTAGTTTTTTGTATTTTTAGTAGAGACGGGGTTTCACCGTGTTAGCCAGGATGGTCTCGATCTCCTGACCTCGTGATCCGCCCTCCTTTGAGGCCTTTTATAAAGGAAGTTTACTGGAAGGCCTCAGTGTTACTTAATTCTGAATGAAGAGACAGGTTTTCTTCTTTGGGCAAAGGTTGATATTTATGCAAAGCGTTAGCTGAGGGGTAGTTCGCTACTATCGCCTCTGCAGTTGCTTGAATGCTGCTGACAAGGAGAGGTAAGAAACATGTTAGGCAACTTCCTAGTATGGCCAGAGCAACGCCTGTTAAAGTCTTGAACCTTCCGTAAAATGAAAACTAGCATCTCAAGAGAGAATCTGGAGGCTGCTTTTTCTAAGTGTGAACTAGAACATGGGCCGTTGATTTAATTCTTGCAGCTATTTCCATAACGGCCTTTCTATTATCATCAATATCTAGGCAGCAATTTGTCAGGTTTAACTTTCCACACACTCCTTTCTCCAGGAGGCAGCCTACTTTGGTAAATGGCGTTTCTCATTTTTGTGGTTTGCTGGCACCGCAATGTATTTGTCCACAACAACATACATGTCCACAGACATGTATTTGCTGTCTCATTAGTGATGAGTTCAACTACTGCCCGCAAGTTTATGATGCGGTTAAGCATGTCAGTAGGAGGACGGTACCTCCATGGCCTACCTTGGGCCCATAATATTGAATTATCCTTCCGGGGCCCGATCTGTATCTTTCCAGTCTTCTATTTTTATGTCTTATGTTTACATCTCTTTTGTTCCTTTCTTTAGTTTCATCGTAGACAGGATACCTTAAAGTTTCTCCTTGCTGCAGTGGGAATAAGAAGAAAGATGGTTTGATTGTTCCTTGTACACAGGCCCCTGCCCAGTTGGTGGGCAGCTACCGATAGGCCTGTGGCCTACAGATCCGACAGAAGCCAGAGGGCGTTTGCTAGGTGTTTGGTGCCTCTAGCTGATACCAGGAGCGGTTTAAAGAAGGAAAACGAGGCCAGGCACGGTGGCTCACGCCTGTAATCCCAGCACTTTGGGAGGCTGAGGCGGGCGGATCACGAGGTCAGGAGCTCGAGACCATCCTGGCTAACACGGTGAAACCCCGTCTCTACTAAAAAATGCAAAAAATTAGCCAGGTGTGGCGGCCAGCACCTGTAGTCCCAGCTACTTGGGAGGCTGAGGCAGGAGAATGGTGTCAACCTGGGAGGCGGAGGTTGCAGTGAGCCAAGGTCGCACCACTACACTCCAGCCTGGGCAACAGAGCGAGACTCCGTCTAAAAAAAAAAAAAAACAGAAGGAAAACGAGAAAATGGGTTGCGGTCTGGCAACCTGGTTATATCTTTACTCGGCTTATTTTTCCCTTGCCACAAAGTTTTCTTTACCGTCTTGTTGGAATATTGTCGTGGACAGACTAATTCCCCTACTGGGTTTGTGAAGGCTTTTCCTCAGCAGGCAATGCACAGCCTCCTAATGAGAGGAGTTTTTAGGAGCCGGACACCTGAGCTTGGGAGCGCTGGTTTGGGGGAGGTAAGGGTTAAGGTAAAGTTCTCTCGAAGCAATAGCTTTTTTGCCTCCCAAGGCCACTGGTTCCTCTTGTTTGTCCTCCGGTGAGGAGATACCGGAGACACCTGGGCTGCCAGCTATGTCTGCAGCCAACCGTGCAGACAGATACTGTAGTACTCCGTGGAACCGTGGATTGCGGGGAAGGGTGAGCCTATGGACGCTATCCCGCAAACACCGAAATGTAGAGATGTGACTCCCTTGTGGGGACAGACGTTGGTCTGGTTTAAGAGACTTCTTCCCCTTGACCCGGTGCGAGTCTCAAACCAGGTCCCAGGTAAAAGCTTAGGATCATAGCACCCATGAGACTCGCCATTCTCTGAGTCAGACTGAATAGGTTGTCTGGCTGTACACACTAGTCCTCGGAGGGTTTTCTGTGCATTTATAGTATGTATGGCACAATAAAGTCTTTTTTTTTTTTTTGAGATGGAATCTCGCTCTGTCGCCCAGGCTGGAGTGCAGTGGTGCGATCTCCACTCACTGCAAGCTCCGCCCCCCGGGTTCACGCCATTCTCCTGCCTCAGCCTCCCGAGTAGCTGGGACTACAGGAGCCCGCTACTGCGCCCGGCTAGTTTTTTGTATTTTTAGTAGAGACAGGGCTTCACCGTGTTAGCCAGGATGGTCTCGATCTCCTGACCTCGCGATCCGCCCCCCTCGGCCTCCCAAAGTGCTGGGATTACAGGCGTGAGCCACCGCGCCCGGCCGGGAATAAAAGTCTTAACTGCTGTGTTTCTTATCAACGTAGTATGCATGCAGTGAGGGCGTCCTTCTATGGGTCCTTTTCCTTCTAGCATAGCTTTGGGGATCAGTAAAAGCAAAGCAAGAGTACATTCTTTTTTTTTTTTTTTTTTTTGAGACGGAGTCTCGCTCTGTCATCCAGGCTGGAGTGCGATGGCACGATCTCGGCTCACTGCAAGCTCCGCCTCCCGGGTTCCCACCATTCTCCTGCCTCAACCTCCCAAGTAGCTGGGACTACAGGCACCGGCCGCCACTCCCGGCTAATTTTTTGCATTTTTAGTAGAGACAGGGTTTCACCGTGTTAGCCAGGATGGTCTCTGTGGGGAAAAGAAAGATCAGACTGTTACTGTGTCTATATAGAAAGAAGTAGACATAAGACACTCCATTTTGTTCTGTATTTGAGATGCTGTTAATCTGTGACCCTACCCCCTACCTTGTCCTTGCAAGAGACATGGGCTGTGGTGACTCAAGGTTTAATGGCTTTTGGGCTGTGCAGGATGTGCTTTGTTAAACAAATGCCTGAAGGCAGCTTGCTGGTTAAAAGTCATCACCATTCTCTTAATCTCAAGTTCCCAGGGACACGTACACTGCGGAAGGTCGCAGGGACCTCTGCCTAGGAAAGCTAGGTATTGTCCACGGTTTCTCCCCATGTGATAGTCTGAAATATGGCCTCGTGGGAAGGGAAAGACCCGATCGTCCCCCAGCCTGACACCCGTGAAGGGTCTGTGCTGAGGAGGACTAGTATAAGAGGAAAGAAGGCCTCTTGGCGGTTGTTGGCAGTTGAGATAGAGAAAAGCATCTGTCTCCTGCCCGTTCCTGGGCCATGGAACATCTCCGTGTAAAACCCCATTGTGTGCTCTGTTTACTGAGATAGGAGAAAACCGCCTTACGTCAAAAGGTGGGACTTGCTGGAGCAATGATCCTAAAAGGTTTATGGAGATGTTTGCATATGCATATCAAGGCACAGCATTTTCCTTTAAACCTATTCATGTCACAGAGAACTTTATTCATTTGTCTTACTGCTGACTTTCTCCCTACAATGATCCTATTATCCTGCCACTCCCTTATCTTTAAGATGGTAAAGATAATTAACAATAAATACTAAGGAACTCAGAGACCGGTGCCGGCATGGGTCCTCGGTGTGCTGAGCGCCGGTCCCCTGGGCCCACTTTTTCTTTCTCTGTACTTTGTCTCTGTGTCTCATTTCTTTTCTCAGGTCTCTCGTTCCACCTAACGAGAAATGCCCACAGGTGTGGAGGGGCAGGCCACCCCTTCAGTCTCGATCTCCTGACCTCGTGATCCGCCCGCCCAGGCCTCCCAAAGTGCTGGGATTACAGGCGTGAGCCACCGCGCCCGGCCAAGAGTACATTCTTATACCCAGCACGGACTGAAAAGGTGTTTTCCTGGAGGAGGAACCAGGAGTACGGGAGGAACATGAAAGTGGACGAGGAGTGTGACCGTTGAAGCACAGCACCACACGGAGGGGTTTAGGCCTCCGGATGACTGCGGGCAGGCCTGGATAATATCCAGCCTTCCACAAGAAGCCGGTGGAGCAGTGTTCCCCGACTCCTCCAAGGAAAGGAGACTCCCTTTCGCGGTCTGCTAAGTAACGGGTGTCTTCCCAGACACTGGCATTACCGCTTGACCAAGGAGCCCTCACGCGGCCCTTATGCGGGCGTGACAGAGGGCTCACCTCTTGCCTTCTACGTCACTTCTCAGGATGTCCCTTCAGCACCTGACCCTAGGCCCGTCGGTTATTCCTTGGTTATGTTAGTAATGCAACAAAGAGTAATATTAAAAGCTAATGGTTAATAATGTTTATAACAATGATTGATAATTGTCCATAATCATCTTTATATGTAATTTGTATTATGACTATTCTTATTCTCTTTTCTTTATTATACGGAAACAGTCTGTGCCTTCAGTCTCTTGCCTCGACCCCGGGTACTCCTCCGCCCACGTTCCCGGCACTGACGCGAGGAGGAGCAAGGCAGCCGGGTTTAGGGTATCCACAGTCGCTAAAGTCAGTGGATCGGCATCCTGCACCCGTAGGGCAGTGGCAGCTACTGTTTAAAACAAGGAGGTCATCCAAGTGCCACAGAATCTAATTACCTGGGTAAGCACGCCGCCGGGCGATGCCGTGACCTTATGGCTTGAGTTAGAAGTTCTGTGGCCTCCCTTTCACTCGTGGACAAGCAAGAAGAAAAGCTTGGTTAGTTAGATCAGGCAGCCCTGAAGCTGGGGCCTGAGGTAAGCTTTCTTTGATTTCTTTAAAAGCTTTCTCCTGGCCGGGCGCAACGGCTCACGCCTGGAATCCCAGCACTACGGGAGGCTGAGGCGGGCGGATCACGAGGTCAGGAGATCGAGACCATCCTGGCTAACACGGTGAAACCCCGTCTCTACTAAAAAATACAAAAAACTAGCCGGGCGAGGTGGCGGCGCCTGTAGTCCCAGCTACTCGGGAGGCTGAGGCAGGACAATGGCGTGAACCCGGGAGGCGGAGCTTGCAGTGAGCCGAGATCCTGCCACTGCACTCCAGACTGGGCAACAGAGCGAGACTCCGTCTCAAAAAAAAAAAAAAAAGAAAGAAAGAAAGCCTTCTCCTGGTCAGCCTCCTAGAGGAGCGTCTCCTTCTTTCCTCTTTGTGGCTTCATATAATGGCTTAGGCGTGAGCAAGAAATTTGGGATTCAAACGCAGCAGAACTTTGCTGCCTCTAGGAACCCTCTTATCTCTGATGCCGGGTGGTTGCAGGAGGAAGGGAACAAACAGCTGCTTTCTGTTCACTGCTCTCCGTTCACTGCTAAGCCATCTTTCCTCTTGGCTTATATAGAAGCTTAAACACTGGACACTGTCAGGCAGATTTGAGCCTTTTTTCCTGACACTGTATCCTGCCTTCCACAGCACCAGAAACACCTGCACTTCACTGAATGCCACTGTGGAAAAGTGTGTGAGGATAATGGGCTGATACAGGACGCGGCTCCGGGGGCAGGACCAGCAGTGGATGGCGAGTACCTGGGCGCTACTACTGGCCTTGGAGATTCTTTGTCATCTGAGAAATTGCTTGGAATATTATCACAGAACTACTGGTGAAAGGATGGTGAGTGCAATTGTCACAAGGATACCCACAGTCAGGGCCCAGATGTTCAGGCACTTGGCGGTGGAGGCACAGGCCTGGGCTCCAGTCAGGTCGCCCACCGTCTTCCTGTCCCTAGACTGTGGGAGGAGACAGTGGGGGACCAGGATTCCTCAGCTGAGAGCCATGTGCTGTGGCTCCCACTACCCCCGGCTCCTCCCCACTCTGAGATCAGGGACCACCCTCTCCCCTTCCTCACTCAGGCTCAGACTCTCCAGGAGCCTCAGGCTCATCCTCCTTCTGCCTGGGCCCCAGCACAGGCTGTTCTCCCCACCACGGGGTGAAGTCGCCTGTGAGTTCCCTTCTCACTTTCTGGGAGAGCCTGGGTGCCAGTCTGGAAGGTGAGGGTGTAATTTCTGGTATTGGGCTGTAGGGAGAATTGCTCTGGGCTAGTGGATCGCTGGGGACAAACTCTGAGCCAGCCAGCCACCTGGAGCCTCCTCCTAGACCTGCACTGGGCGGATTCCCCAAGCCACACACACACAGATCACACAGACAAAGCTACTGACGTGGGCACACACGGGACAGAGGTGCACACAAACTCACACAGGGACACATGAGTCCCCACCCCAGGCAGCTTCTGGGCAGGTGGAGTTCCAGGCTCACCGGGACCCTCTGAGCGTTCCCTGGGGCCATAGGCACCTTCACAGAGTAGGCGAATGCTATGAAGCCCAGGCAGCAGGGGTTCACGAAGAGGGTGTTGAACAGGGACCAGATGACATGGTCGGGCACGGAGGTCTCGCTGCGGATGTGGGTCACGGCTGACTTCACACCGTGCTCCTCCTTGATCATGGCTCAGGTTTCCGGGAAGCTGATGTTTTTGGTGGTGACGAAGGCTTGGGAAGTGTGGTTCCTGCTCTCTTACACGACCATTTGTGGAGTGACGTCTGGATGCCGGGCACCGTCTCTGGCAGGTCTTAGGTCTTCTCGGGCTCCTGGACCTGCTGGACTCAGGGGTTCTGCTTTCTTAGAAGTTTGTTTCCTGCTTGGAAATTTGTGAATTGTGTGAGGTCTGAGGAGGGGGTAACAAATTTCTGAACGTGAAGTTATACATTCAGGGCGGGCGGACGCACTGTGGGATAAGGAGCCTTCTCTCCAGGACCCCGGCAGGACAGCGTCATGTGACTCCAGCTTCCTCTTGGAGGGGAGTCAGAGGCCCCTGTGAACTTTACTAGACCTGGGAGTCTCCTCACCTTACGCCAGCAGTTGCAGGACCTCACTATTGGTTCGGGGTCCCTGCCAGGCCCCCGATGGGCCTCCACACTCCAGGCCCCACAGGGGGCCCCTCAAGCCCTCACCTCTCTTGCCACAGGCCTCCTCTGCTGAAATCTTCCCTTTCTTGGGGCTGCAGTTCTGCTCTATGTGGGTTCAGAGGCCCAAGCCTCCCTGTGTCTCCTGCTGCAGATCAGAGACCCAGTGGCCATTGCTGCCTGCCCCAAGCAGCCCTCCAGGCCCAGGACCGGGGACCGCGGGGAGCACTGACGGAAGCGGAGGCAGTCTTGGATACAGGGAGGATTCCAGGACCTGTGGGGGCAGTTTCAGTGCTCAGGGCTGACACGCGTGACCCCCTCCTTCCTCCTGCCTCCTTCCGGGGCCCCTTTGCTTTATAAAACACCACAGAGGTTGAGGGGACATGAGGGGCGGGGGTTCCTGGACTCAGGGCCACACCCCGTGGGGCCTGGGCAGGGCTCTAGGGCCCCACTGGCCAAGAGCTTACTGAGTTTACAGCACTTTCCTCCTCCTGCCTCAGCGCCCCGTGGATAGGAGTGCAGTCTGAGCAGAGCAAAGTGAGGTCACTGGGTCAGCGGCTCCTGTGGCATCTGGCCAAGGACAATGTGCTGAAAAGTTTCCCTGGAAAAAATCAGAAACCAAACTGACCTCAGAAGAGGCCCCTGCGCCGTCCAGGAGGAAGTGGGAGTCACGTGAGGCCTGTCTTGATTGGGGTTCCTGGAGAGGAGCCCCCCTCTCCACCCGTCCCTAGGTGGGGGCTCCTGTTTCCGCTGCTCTGCTCTCTGAGGTGCCCAGGGTCCCGTCCCCTCCCCACCCTACCCTGGATCCTGTCATCTTGTCACGGCCACCAGAGACCTGCTCCCTGTGCCACCTCAGACCGGACTCTGGGGTTGCCTGCACCTCCTCTGATCCTGCACCTCTGTGCAGCCTCTGGCCTGGCTGCTGCACTCTGGGGAGCTCCCTGTGGCCACCCTTGGAACGTGGCCAGTTCCGTTCTCAAACTGCTGTGAGGACAAAGCTCATGTTGGATTTTGAAGATTTGGTGAGAAAAAAATTTCTTTGTAAAATGTCACTATTTCATCAGTAGTATATTTTGTTGATGATATGGTGAGGTAGTATTTTGGATATATTTGTTTAAGTAGATTGCTGGCCAGGCATGGTGGCTCACTCCTGTAATCCCAGCACTGGGAGGCCAAGGCAGGAGGATCGCTTGAGGCCAGTGGTTGAGGCTGCCATGAGCTGTGATGGTGCCACCGCACTCCAGCGTGGATGACAGAGATCCTGCCTCTAAAAACAAGAAATTAAAATTAAATCAGTACATTTTTTTTTTTGAGACGGAGTCTTGCTCTGTCACCCGGGCTGTAGTGCAGTGGCGTGATCTCGGCTCACTGCAACCTCTGCCTTCTGGGTTCACACCATTCTCCTGCCTCAGCCTCCCAAGTAACTGGGACTACAGGCGCCCACCACCACGCCTGGCTAATTTTCTGTATTTTTAGTAGAGACGAGGTTTTACTGTGTTAGCCAGGATGGTCTCGATCTCCTGACCTCGTGATCCACCCACCTCGGCCTCCCAAAGTGCTGGGATTACAGGCCTGAGCCAGCACGCCTGGCCTATCTTCTTTTTTTTTTTTTTTTTTTGAGACGGAGTCTCGCTCTGTCACCCAGGCTGGAGTGCAGTGGCCGGATCTCAGCTCACTGCAAGCTCCGCCTCCCGGGTTCCACCATTCTCCTGCCTCAGCCTCCCAAGTAACTGGGACTACAGGCGCCCACCACACGCCTGGCTATTTTCTGTTTTTAGTAGAGACGAGGTTTTACTGTGTTAGCCAGGATGGTCTCGATCTCCTGACCTCGTGATCCACCCACCTCGGCCTCCCAAAGTGCTGGGATTACAGGCGTGAGCCAGCATGCCTGGCCTATCTTCTTTTTTTTTTTTTTTTTTTTTGAGACGGAGTCTCGCTCTGTCACCCAGACTGGAGTGCAGTGGCGGGATCTCAGCTCACTGCAAGCTCCGCCTCCCGGGTTCACGCCATTCTCCTGCCTCAGCCTCCCGAGTAGCTGGGACTACAGGCGCCTGCCACCTCGCCCGGCTAAGTTTTTGTATTTTTAGTAGAGACGGGGTTTCACTGTGTTAGCCAGGATGGTCTCGATCTCCTGACCTCGTGATCCGCCCGTCCCGGCCTCCCAAAGTGCTGGGATTACAAGCTTGAGCCACCGCGCCCGGCCTATCTTCTTCCTTTCTAAGTAAGTGAAGGAAATAATGTATACAGTGGTCCATTTCCAAGACAAAGTGCCTTACATCAGCTTAGGTCAGCAAACCACAGAAGAAACAGGATATACTAGGCCCCTGCTTGGATAGCTGATGCCTTCTTGTCAGTCTCCCTGTCCCTCCCCTTCTCCCTCCACTTAGTTGCCCTCAGGCAAATCAAGGAAGTTTAGTCTGAGATGAAAGTTTACTAGCTTGCAAAATAGCTCGGTTCATCCGTCCGTATCCGCCTGCCCAGCTGCTTAGGTCATAAGTCAAATAAATACACAAGGAGCCCCTGAGCTGACTGGGATTGCAATGCATTGTGGGCCGCAACAAAATGCAGCAGGACAACCCTAAAGCAAACACCTAAAGCCCCTGCCCAACAACCAATAGGAAGGCAGTGACCTCACAGTGCTCGGCCTATGAGGAGCTGGGGGAGGGGCCTGCACACTGGGGATAAATGGCTTGTTCTGTACTGTGTGGGCCCATCAGATGCCTGATCTCAAAAGACCATCATTAAAAGTCTCACTTTTGGCCGGGCGTGGTGGCTCACGCCTGTCATCCTAGCACTTTGGGAGGCCGAGACGGGCGGATCACGAGGTCAGGAGATCGAGACCATCCTGGCTAACACGGTGAAACCCCATCTCTACTAAAAATACAAAAAACTAGCCGGGCGAGGTGGCGGGCACCTGTAGTCCCGGCTACTCGGGAGGCTGAGGCAGGAGAATGACGTAGACCCGGGAGGCAGAGCTTGCAGTGAGCCAAGATCCGGCCACTGCGCTCCAGCCTGGGCGACAGAGCGAGACTCTGTCTCAAAAAAAAAAAAAAAAAGTCTCACTTTTGCTGTTTTCCAGGTTTCTAAGTCCATTCTTGGGGTTTGGACAAGTGAGTTTGTTTCTCACAGTCAGGCTCCAGAATTTTGTGACTCAGAATTTTAAGGAAAAAGCAAGTCTCCATGGGGTCTCTTCGTGGCCAAAAAATGGAGGAAGGAATAGAGGTTTGTTTTGTTTTGTTTTGTGGGTTTTGTTTCTTTGTTTGAAACAGGGTCTCACTTTGTCACCCAGGCTGAAGTGCAGTGGCACCATCACAGATCACTGCAGCCTCCACCTCCTGGGCTCAAGCGATCCTCCTGCCCCAGCCTCCCAAGTAGCTAGAACTCCCAAGTAACACACCAGCATGCCCAGCTAATGCTTAAATTAGAGTTTTAATTCACAGATAAATAAAGGTTATTTGTATCACGAGAACCCGCTCCCAGTGGTTATGTGGGTTCTTTTCTATTTCCTAAGTGTCTCGGCTGGTTTGGGAAATAAAGGGAAAGAGCATAAGAGAGAGGAATTTAAAGCTGGGTGTCCAGGGCAGACACCACCTGTCGGCAGGATCCCTGATGTTCCCGAGCCATAAAACCAGCAAGTTTTTATTAGGGATTTTCAAAAGGGGAGGGAGTGCACGAATAGGGTGTGGGTCACAGAGATCACGTACTTCACAAGGTAATAAAATATCACAAAGCAAGTGGAGGCAGGGCAAGATAATAGGACCACAGGATAGGGCAAAATTAAAATTGCTAATGAAGTTTCCGGCAGGCATTGTCATTGATAACATCTTATCAGGAGACAGGGTTTGAGAGCAGACAACCTGTCTGACAAAATGTATTAGGCAGGAATTTCCTCGTCCTAATAAGCCTGGGAGTGCTACAGGAGGCCGGGGCTTATTTCATCCCTTCAGCTTCAACCGTAAAAGATGGCGCGGCTCGCTCGCTTCCGAGGGGGCAGTTTATAGACCTGCCCTCAGGGGCGCATTCTCTTTCTCAGGGATGTTCCTTGCTGAGAAAAAGAATCAGCAATATTTCTCCTATTTGCTTTTGAAAGAGGAGAAATGTGACTGTGTTCCATCCAGCTCACCAGTGGCCAGAAGTCTTTATCTGGTGTTCCGTGAAGATTGCTGTTATCCTGTTCTTTTTTCAAGATGTCCAGATTTCATATAGTTCAAACACACAGGCTCTGCAAACAATTTGTGCAGTTAACGCAATCATCACAAGCCCCTTCCTCCAGCCTCCGTTCGAACAGCCCCGTGAGGGGTGCCCTGACCTTCTTGCTCTAATGCATCTGCAGCTCCCCAGGGCAGCGACTCCCCCTCCCTGCCTCCCAAGTGCAGCCCCGCCCTCTTCACAGGCACGCACCCCACAGCAGTGCCTCGAGGTGCACCGGGAGGCCCATCAGTGCTGTTCCCCAAGCCTCCGGCTTTCTTCCTGGAATCTTTCTTCCTCACCCCCTCACAGCTCAGCATGAACTTGTCACTTGAGGTGGCCAGTGCGATGTTGTGGGCATGAGAGGTGGCACCAAGAGATCAGGCATGACTCCACCTCCCATTCCCACCTCAGAGGCCTGGCAGCACACGCTGGGGGCTCCCCAACCTGGGTGGCTGGGCAAGGACGATGCACAGACCACAGACCCCACACCTGCCACCGGCCCACACTGGAGGGAGTCAGCGGCTGAGGGTGGGGCTGTTCGTTACCACTGCACAGCCTGGCTCATCCTGGCTGACTCGGGGCAGTGCTGCCCGGGCCAGGCAGAGCAGGGAGGATGTGGTGGGGGCAGCGACCCCTGGAGTGTTTGGAAGGAGAGCAAGAACCTAATCAATGTGAGTCCTGGACTTTGAGGCTGGGCAGCGAATGTTCTGTGGGTGCTGCCTGAGGCCAGATGCGGGTTTTGGCATCATGAGTTCAGGAGAGAACCAGTTGGTGGGTGAGCAGGAGCGAAAGGAAACCAGGAAAACCCAGGGGGGCTTTGTGGGTTAAAAGAGGCCACTGCCTTTCCGTCCTGACCATAGAAGGGAAGATTGCAGAGACCCCTGAGTGAAAACGTCAGCGTTTGCAGCTGGGGTGGAATCAGGAGCCGGCACCGCTCCGGCTGCTGGAAACTCCAAGGAGCTCGCAGCGTCTCCAGGTAGGGTCCTGCCAAAGGAATGGCCCAGGAAAGCCCTTTTATTGCACCAAATGCTCCAGGAAAAAGAGACTAAGGGTGTGACTCAGGCTCTTCAGCCTGACCTGATGCCACATTTTTTGCGGAGAGATTTTAGAGGGAGGGGGGCAGTGGGGGCTGAGGACGACCAAGGAAAGAAACGCAGCCCAGCCAAGGCAGGCAGGAGGAGCGGGTGTGACTCGGCACAGGGACCTGACCAAATCAGACGGAAGTTTAGAGAGCTGATTTACGCCGGGTGCCATAGCTCATGCCTGTAATCCCAGCACTTTGGGAAGCTGAGGCGGGCGGATCACTTGAGCCCAGGGGTTCATGACCAGCCTGGACAACATGGTGAGACCCTGTCTCTACAAAAAGTATGAAAACATAGCCAGTGGTGGTGGTGCATGCCTGCGGTCCCACCCACAGGGAGACTGGAGTTGGGAGGATCGCTTGAGCCCAGGAGGTTGAGGCTGCACTGAGTGGCGATCAGTCACGTACAGCCTGGGCAGGACCCTGCGGTCAGGCCTCTGAGCCCAAGCCTGGACTGTACATCCAGATGGCCTGAGGCAACTGAAGAACCACAGAAGAAGTGAAAATGGTCGGTTCCTGCCTTAACTGATGACACTACCTTGTGACATTCCTTCTCCTGGACAGTGAGTCTCAGAAGCTCCCCACCGAGCACCTTGTGACCCCCGCCCCTGCCCGCCGGAGAACAACGCCCTTTGACTGTAATCTTCCATGACCCACCCGAATCCTATAAAACTGCCCCACCCCGTCTCCCTTTGCTGACTCATTTTTCGAACTCAGCCCGCCTGCACGCAGGTGATTAAAAAGCTTTATTGATCACACAAAGCCTGGTTGGTGGTCTCTTCACAAGGACGCCTGCGACACCTGCCTCAAAAAAAAGAAAAAGAAAAAGAAAAAGAAAGTTGATCAAAGATTTGAAAGAGTTGCACTGTCCTAAAAACACAGGCTGGATCCAAAGACTGTGACAGCCTGAGACTCAAAGTAGCCCTTGGGCTCCCCACGTCTCTACAGGCAAGAAGGGAGCTGAGGAAGCCACTTGGCTCTCCAGCACCCACGCTGGTGGGGCCACAGAGGACCGTGGGGATGGGAGGTGTCCCCTCCACCGACCACAGCCCACATCTCTTCCAGGAAATTGCTCCCCGGGGTTGGGGTCCTCCCCCAGCCACCCGATGGGACTTTGGAGCCACTGCAGAGCCTGGCTGCTGGGGTCTGCCTTCTTCCCCTTCCAAACCAGACCCTGGAAGCCCCTGTCCCTGCTCCTCGGTTGAATACCAGGGGCGTGGGCAGCAAACGCTTCATCTTTTTAACTCAGAGCCCTCCAGCTTGGGATGGATGCGGCAACTTGTGTACGTTTGACCTTCACGTAGCTGGAGGATGCCGGGATGGTTGCCTTGGAGGAAGCGGGCGTGCTTTGCTTGCAGGAAGGGCAGGCTTCCAAGTACCTCGCAGGTGCCTGGATGTGGTGTGCCTCAGTGCTGTTCACTAGATACCTTCGGCTCCCCTCTGGGCAGACAGCAGGGCTGAGTCTTCCCGTGGAGCTCCTTCTTTCGCCTCAGTGGCCATGGAGACGCCTGTCGAGGTGCGACTTCATCTGGGCGTCTGCATGAGGGTGGGGAGCAGAGTCCTTGGTGGGGTGGAGCGTGCACGGGATGTCATTATGTGGGGCCATTTGTTATGCAGCCTAACGCAGCCTGTCCTGGCTGACGCGGACGGCCATTGCAGCGGTCATCTGCGGGTCCTCAGCTTAGTCTCACCCTCACTGGAGATCTTAGCCTTGGCCTCGCAGGCTCTCCAGATCTTTTCCTGGCAGAATTTTGGTGATTTCAGAAATATTATTACTGCTGACCCCACTTCTTCCAGCATTTCTATTTGTGATTGCCTGGTGTATATAAAATCCATGTTAATGGGGGCATATACTTTTAACGTTTCCCTATTGTGAAATTTAATAAATTTAGCCGGGCACGGTGGCTCAAGCCTGTAATCCCAGCACTTTGGGAGGCTGAGACGGGCGGATCACAAGGTCAGGAGATCGAGACCATCCTGGCTAACACGGTGAAACCCCGTCTCTACTAAAAAATACAAAAAACTATGGCCGGGCGCGGTGGCTCAAGCCTGTAATCCCAGCACTTTGGGAGGCCGAGACGGGCGGATCACGAGGTCGGGAGATCGAGACCATCCTGGCTAACACGGTGAAACCCCATCTCTACTAAAAAAATACAAAAAACTAGCCAGGCGAGGTGGCGGCGCCTGTAGTCCCAGCTACTCGGGAGGCTGAGGCAGGAGAATGGCGGGAACCCGGGAGGCGGAGCTTGCAGTGAGCTGAGATCCGGCCACTGCACTCCAGCCTGGGCGACAGAGCCAGACTCAGTCTCAAAATAAATAAATAAATAAATAAATAAATAAATTTACAGCAAAATGTATAAAACATAAAAGTAAAAAACTACCACCCTAGTCAAAATGGTGCATTGCCCATCCCCCAGAAGGTGCCTGCCTGTCCCTGCCCAGTCACGACCCCTCCCATCCCAAGAAGACCACCACTCCGGACTTCTATGGTGAACACATTCTTGCTTTTTTGTTTTGTTTTGTTTTGAGATGGAGTCTCTGGCTCTGTCGCCCAGGCTGGAGTGAGTGGCACAATCTCGGCTCACTGCAAGCTCCGCCTCCCGGGTTCACGCCATTCTCCTGCCTCAGCCTCCGGAGTAGCTGGGACTACAGGCGCCGCCACCTCGCCCGGCTAGTTTTTTGTATTTTTTTAGTAGAGACGGGGTTTCACCGTGTTAGCCAGGATGGTCTCAATCTCCTGACCTCGTGATCCGCCCGTCTCGGCCTCCCAAAGTGCTGGGATGACAGGCTTGAGCCACCGCGCCCGGCCCACATTCTTGCTTTTGTCAGGATTTTAACATCCACGTGGGGGTTAAACCAAACCAAATCCAGTGTCGGCTAAACCCAAACACGATGAGTTAGAGCTTCCAGCATCTACGTTCTTGGAACTCTGCTGATTAGGGTTTTCTGTGGAGGCCTCATTACGTAGAGACGACTGCTTAAATCATTCCCCTAGGGACTGACTCTGTCCAGTCCCTCTCCCCTCCCCACGGGCTGAGGGTGGGGCTGAAAGTTCCATCCCCCGAATCACCTGGCAGCCAGAGCCCCTTCCCAAACCCTCTTCTTCAGTGTAAACCCAGGTGTGGTTGAGGGAGGCTCTGCCTTTACTCCCCATCGCCTCGGAGTCACAAGAGTGTTAGGGGCTCTGCAGAACCAGGACTGAAGAACCAAACCGGTTCTTCTTATTGCATCACCGTATCCATTTCTCATTCCTTGGAAAAAATCCTCATGTTTACCTTTTGTTTCCAAAAACATAGCGAGCACAGCTGGTTTATCGTCTGGGAATTCCAGCACCCGGAGTTCCTGCTGCCAGTGGCTCCTGCTGACCCTCACCCTCGCTGTCTTCTCCCTCCATGTTGCCTGTTTATGTTTCATGGCTGGACACGGAGCTGCTTTCAGGCCTGGGGTGTTGTCTCTGTTGGGGGAGGATTGCGTGTCGATTCCGTCAGGCACCTAGAATCAGCCAAATTCAGTTTCAAAGAACTTTTCTGTATTTCTGGGTCTTTTCTTAAAATGCATCTCTAATTAACTCTCTGTCTTTTAACTCATATTTGTTATAATAATTCTTCGACAAGGACATATTTCTGCCACAGTTTTTATATTTTCTATTTGCCCTACTTTTGGAGGTTTTTTCTTTTGGTGATTTTCATGAGAGATTTTTTCTTTTATAACTTTTCTAAAAATTTATATTGATTCATTCAACAAATACACACACACACGTATATATATACACACACATACACACACACACATTTTTTTAAGATGGAGTTTTGCTGTTGCCGAGGCTGGTCTCAAACTCCCGGCCTTGGAGTCTTCATGTTGTCTAGGCTGGAGGCTGGTCTCAAACTCCCGGCCTCAGGCTCTCCTCCCACCACGCGTGGTGCAATGAAACTTACCGAGTGCCTCCTGCTTGCTGCTGGGGCTCCACATGTGACCTTGGCGTGCTGAGTACTTGGGTCTGGGGCCATTAAGGGCCTCACAAGCAAAGCGTCTCTGACCTTCTCCTTCCCTTCTATTTCCTGCCCCATTTTCTCCCCCGTGTGAATCACGGAAACCAGAATTCCTTTTCCCCATGGTGAGTCATAGAAAATAGAACTCGTCTCTCCCAAAGCAGGCCGTAGAACCTAGAAGGTCACTCTGTCCCTCTTCCCTTGGAGGCCTTCCTTCCCAGGGTCCTGCCCCCACGCATGGGAGGGAGGAAGGAGCTTTGCAGCGGGTGCTGAGAAGGCTCTGGGCAGCCTCGCTGGGTCTGTCCCCTCAGCCTTCCCACTGGATTGTTCCCATTTCTACACAGCTGCCCATGCTTCATCTAATCGAAGCATAAAAAGGTTTTCCTGGGTCTCTGGGTCTTCTGTGTCACATAAAACTTTGGCTCCATAAATGTGTTCTTTTCTCTTGTTAGCTGTGTGTGGTTATAAGAGAGTCGCTGTGACCCTGTGAGGGGTGAAGAGAGGCCTCACAGCTCTCTCTGCTCCTGCGGTGCCAAGAATTGCTGCACATGATGAAACAAACCACAACACCCTAAAATACCGGGCGTTGTTGAGGTGACGAAACTTAAAACACAGGGCGATGCTCGGTCCGTCTCTGCTTGCCTGGTGGCAGGACAGCGAGGTACAAAGACTGAGGTCTTCCTGGCCTCCTCTCTGCCTTTCGCACCTGAAGACACTTGCACATCCCCTCAGAGACAGGGAGAATCCCGGCCCTTCCTGCAAATGTTCCTCCCCACATTTTCCTGCCTTTGTCTTTTCCCATAGGATTTATGACTCATGTTAAAATACTATTGAAGTAAGGCTCCAAAGCCACTGCAGAGAGAGAGAAATACTTTTAACCTGAGGCCTCTCCCGCGAGGCAGGCATCCGTAAACCGCTGTTGCTTTTTCTCGTGTTAATCTCACTTTTATTTTCAGGAGACTGTCTCAACTAAGAACCTGCAAAGGAAAGAAAGACGTTCTCTTCTCCCCCACGGCAGTGGGCACGCAGCGTGGCCGAGCGAGTTCCTGTGATGGTGGCCTTAAGCCCCACACTGTTCAGCTGCCCGTGTTCACGTCCTGGACTTGCCCGTGTTCACACCTGGATCTCCCGGCACCCTTTGGCAAACTTCCCACATCCCTTGGTTCTCTCACTCCCTTCCTGATGGCATTATCTAGATCGTCAGGCTTTGCACAACTGTATTTCCCTCATCTTTGCCCTTTGCGTTACCTTTTTATTGGCAGTGATTTGTTGCTAATAACAGATTTCACAAACCCATTGTGTCCCCAGACTTCTCCTGTGGCCTGCAGCACTTCCTGGATTTCTGTTTTTTCTATTTTTTTGTTTTTTGACTTCCTTCTTCAAGAATATTTTCAGTGTAGACGTGAGGGAGGGACACATTCTGAGGCTTTCTGGAAATAGCTTTATTATGCTCTGAGCTTTGAATAACAATTTGGCTGCATATAAAATTCTAGGGTTTTTTCTTTGAATTCTGTAAAATATCACCCTATAATCTCCTTATTTGTGTTAAAATATAAACAAGGCCGGGCGCGGTGGCTCACGCCTGTAATCCCAGCACTTTGGGAGGCCGAGGCGGGCGGATCACAAGGTCAGGAGATCGAGACCACGGTGAAACCCCATCTCTACTAAAAATACAAAAAATTAGCCGGGCGCGGTGGCGGGTGCCTGTAGTCCCAGCTACTCAGGAGGCTGAGGCAGGAGAATGGCGGGAACCCGGGAGGTGGAGCTTGCAGTGAGCCGAGATCGCGCCACTGCACTCCAGCCTGGGCGACAGAGCGAGACTCCATCTCAAAAAAAAAAAAAAATATATATATATATATAAACAAAAGCACAAGAAAAATTTTTTAAGTTTATTTGTACGAGCAGCAATTCATGAACTGGGCAGCGCTAAACTGCAAGCAGCTCAGGGCTCCATCAAAGGGAACTTTACAAGGGGTGTCCGGAAGGTAAATCCTTCATTGGCAAAGTTGGAGCCATGGCCTCGAAGTCCCTTCTTCGAGGTTAGTTGACTGATGAAGCTTAAGTTGTGTTTTCCTAGGATATGACCTTTCAAACTCAGCTGGGTTTCAGGGCACTGGGGCCTCCTCAGTCTGATGGCATCCCGATGGAGTCTTCTAAAAACTCCCCCATCAGCCATCCTCTCATTTATCGGAGATTGACCAAAAGTCAGACGCAGGCACCCTCTGTCACCGTCATGGCTGGTTTGTCTGTTTCCACATGGAATTTGCAAGTCACAATGTCAGGCTCATTGGAAAAATTTTTCTTCTCCCTTTTTGGTTGTTCTAATCACAGGAAGACCATCTGGTGTACCATGGATGGCTTTGAACGTGCATTTAAGATTCCTGAGATGTCCTGGAACAATGTACTGGAAAAAAAAAAAAAAGAGGCCAGACGCAGTGGCTCACGCCTGTAATCCCAGCACTTTGGGAGGCCGAGGCGGGTGGATCACGAGGTCAGGAGTTTGAGACCAGCCTAACCAAAATGGTGAAATCCCGTCTCTACTAAAAATACAAAAATTAGCTGGGCGTGGTGGCGCATGCCTGTAATCCCAGCTACTTGGGAGACTGAGCCGGGAGAATTGCTTGAACCTGGGAGGTGGAGGTTGCAGTGAGCCAAGATCCCACCGTTGCACTCCAGCCTGGGTGACAGAGTAAGACTCCATCTCAAAAAACAAAGAAAGAAAAAAAAATAAGACCCCTGAGAGAATACGGTTCCGCAGGGACATCACAATGAGGCGTCAGGAGAATGATCTCAAGAGACTAGGACGCTCCTTAGCCAAGCTTCCCAGAAACCAAACCGGTTAAAATAAACAAAAGGAAAACAATGGCTAATGGTTTCCACAAACTAAAAACGATGTCCCTGAGTCCAGAAAGCAGTTAGTTGAGATTTCTAGATCTGAGCTGAAAGCCTGTTTCTGTGGGTTGATAGCATCAGGCATCTTGGTAAACTCTGAGTCACACGCAGCAGCGGCCTGGAGGTTCTCCTCTAAGGTTAACACTTAATCGTCCAGCTTCAGCTTGCAGGACTCCAGCAATACGCAAAGCCTCAAAGAAAATGAGGGAAATATCGTCATGGGTGCACTATAGTTTTCTGATGAAACATAATTCCTCTCTATAGTAGAAACCCCCATTTCAACCAAAGATAATTACAGTAAGCCTAATTTGTTTGCAAAATAGCTTTAGTCTCATTAAACTCGGCCTGATTATTTACATGTCTGCAATGAATATGACTAGTGACGGATCACGTGGGGTTTTTAAGAGTCTGCTTTGGTAGAACTCTTTCTCTTTTCTCTGTCACCCAGGCTGGAGTGCAGTGGCGTAATCACAGCTCACTGCAGCCTCACACTCCTGGGCTCGGGCGATTCTCCCACCTCACCCTTTTGAGTAGCTGGTACTACAGGGATGTGCCATCACACCCCGCTAAGTTTTTCTTTTTTTTTGAGAGGGGGTTTTTGCTATGCTCTCTAGTAGTCCCAGCTACTAGAGAGGCTGAGACAGGTGGATCACTTGAGTCCGGGAGCTGAGATCACACCACTGCATTCCAGCCTGAGTAACAGAGTGACGCCCTGTCTGAAAACACATAAACAAAATAAGCAACAAAAAACAGTCACTTTACAATGTTTATAAACCCAGTTCTAGCCACCTAACTACACAAGGTTCTTCCTCCCTCTCTCTTCACAGCTTTCTGTACTCATTTCTTCCATTCATTCTGAAAGAAACTTTAACTCCAAAACAGAGAAATTACTTTAAAAAAAAAACACACATCTTCATACCTTATGTTTTTTTTGTTTTTTGAGACTGAGTCTTGCGATCTCTGCTCGCTGCAACTTCCGCCTCCCAGGTTCAAGCGATTCTTCCCCCTCAGCCTCCCAAACAGCTGGAGTTACAGGCGTGAGCCCCTGAGCCCAGCCAAGATTGACTCCTCAAAGGGAAGCAGACTCTTCCAGTCAAAGCCTTGGTAAAACAACCACTTTCTCCAACTGTGTCCTGCTGCAAAAGAAAGAGGGAATCTTATTGCACCGATGCAGAGGACTATATTGCCACAAGAATACTCACAGTTTCCAAATTCTGGAGGAACCAGAAAGAGAGAAACAAACATTCTCCAAATGCTTTTAAATTGAGATGGGGTCTCACTCTGTCACCCAGGCTGGAGTGCAGCGGCACAATCTCAGCTCACTACAACCTGTGCTTCCTGGGTTCAAGAAATCCCCCTGCCTCAGCCTGCTGAATAGCTGGGATTACAGGTGCCCGCCACTACATCCAGCTAATTCTTGTATTTTAGTAGAGGTGGGGCCTCCCCATGTTGGTCTCGAACTCCTGACCTCAAGTGGTCCACCCACTTCAGTCTCCCAAAGTGCTGGGATTACAGGTTTGACTCACTGCACCCGGCCCAAATTTTGTCCACAGGAGTATACCTTACTTATTATTGAAGGCTGTAAATCGTTCAAAATAAGTTTCCTGGACTCTGAAAAACAAAACAGGGATCGGCAACAATTCGAGCAAAAGTCAGAAAGGTGGCTCCAGCCTCCTGCATTCAGTCCATTTAGTTAACTCTGGTTATGCTTGACATTCGTGAACATTTCAGCTCTTCAGGGCTTCTGTACACTTTTCTTTATTCTCATGTTACAATTGCCAAAATTATCAGAAGCCTGTATCTGAGAACACTTGTTAAAATCCTACAGCTTATTGGCCGGGTGTGGTGACTCACGCCTGTAATCCCAGCATTTTGGGAGGCTGAGGCGGGCGGATCACAAGGTCAGGAGATGGAGACCAGCCTGGCTAACACGGTGAAACCCCGTCTTTACCAAAAATACAAAAAATTAGCCGGGCGCGGTGGCGGGTGCCTATAGTCCCAGCTACTCGGGAGGCTGAGGCAGGAGAGTGGCGGGAACCCAGGAGGCGGAGCTTGCAGTGAGCTGAGATCGCGCCACTGCACTCCAGCCTGGGCGACAGAGTGAGACGCCATCTCAAAATAAATAAATAAATAAAATAATCCTACAGCTTATTATAAACCATCTTTTGAAAAGGATTAAAACAAGACAATTATCTGTGAATAGCAAAATGTCCAGGGTAGTTACAGTTAGAAACACGACTGACAATTTGGTTATCTCCGTGGTTTACAATAACTTAACAACCTTAATTATGATTGATAGCATCTACTTAGACATTAGAATTTTAGAAATCCCATACAATTTTGGAACATAGATTAGCATTATTCATAAAAATATAACCTGAAGAAGATTGAGCCTCATTTTGGCAATTTCATGTACCCAAATATCTTGAATAATCCTGTTTATGTCTTTTTTCTGGACACTTTGGGGTCCTCTGACGTATTTGAAGAGCCAGGTACTAGGTGTAAGGTCCTCTGAGCTGGCCGCACTGTGGTCCAGCCAGGTGACATTCCCCTGTCCTTGTGAATGTACTTTGTAACGTTCCTCCCCGCCCTGGTGAGGATACACCTTCCCTGCCCTTGAGAATATACTTTGTAACATCCATCCCCTGCCTGCCAAAAATTGCTGCTGACCCACCGCCTATCCCAAACCTATTAGAACCCATGGTAAGCCACCACCTTGACCGACTTCTTTCTCGGAATCAGCCCTCCTGCACCCAAGTGAATAAACCGCCTTGTTGCTCACACTAAGCCTGCTTGGGTGGCCTCTTGTACGGTCTGCTCGGGTGGTCTCTCATATGGCCGCATGTAACAAGTTTGAGAGCAACCTGGCCAACGTGGTGAAACCCTGTCTCTACTAAAAATACAAAATTAGCCGGGCGTGATGTCGCATACCTGTAGTCCCAGCTATTCGGGAGGCTGAGGCAGAAGAATCGCTTGAACCCGGGAGGCAGAGGTTACAGTGAGCCGAGATCATACCACTGCACTCCAGTCTGGGGGACAGAGCGAGACTCTGCCTCAAAAAATAAAAATAAAAGTTAACTCGCTGATGGGTAGAGAAGGGGAAATAAACAGTTATAAAATTTCTCATGCAAGTGGTTCCTCCACCGCGGAGAGAAGCTTAAGCTTCATGACTGTCCAATGGAGTCAAAACCCTTGGCTGGGGAAAGGGAAGGCTGTGGCGGTGTGTGGCTGGGGATCTGCCAGCTGGCTGTGTGGGACCCTTGGGCCGGGCGTCCCAGGCCCAGCACAGAGAAAGAAGCAGCTGGGAGCTGCTGTTCACCAGTGTGTCCCAAAAAAGGAAGGAAAAGGCTATGAAAAGGCCCCTGATCCCCCCAGGAGTGACAGGGGATGGGGAGCAGTTTCCTGTAAGCTCAGAAGTCCACGGATAAAAAGGCTTAGAAGCCACAGTGAGAGGCTCTGACACCGATTCCACTCACTGCTTCTCCAGTCCCATGTTGGGCACTAAAAATGTTGCAGGACTTTTCCTTAGTTTAGCTAAAGACGGGGTTCTTTGTCCCATGGCCACGAAAATTCAGGCTCACAGACAATCTGAACGGTGAGTAAGACAGGGTTTTATTGGATGAAAAGGGAGAAAGGGGAAACAGAGACTCTCACAAGGCCGGAGTCCCCGCTAGGT